TTTTCAGTCTATATTTTTCCAACGCGAGCACTCAAGCAGGACTAAACGAAGAGACGCATTCCTAGTTGACACAGAGGACATACTTTGTGTTTTCTGGTGCCAAAACACACCAGAGGATTAGGTGCTAGAATGGAAAATAGTTCTCTCCATTTCCTGATTACTTTCACAGGCATTCTTATTATCTTTAACTTTCCTCTTGTAAAATACACACACACACACACACACACACAGCACGAGAAATTACTGGGTTCTTTAATTATACCTTATAATAACCTTTATTTCTTGGTTTTCACAGGAAGAGATGACTGCATGAAGTGCTTGGAACTCCTTGCTGCAGGACACAGGGAAGAACTGGAAAGTGTGGGTAGGCTAAGCACGCCAAGGGTAAAATTAGCCTTCGAGCACATGACTACCAGGAAAGCTCTGAACTACCAGAATCAAGATATCATGGGTTGTCATCAGGGAGTAAATCAGGCAATAACTCTTTTTAAATAGACTCAGGATAGGAACTATGTCCTCCGTTCACAAATGTGGGATGGCAACCCAGCAGGTTTTTATATTCCTGTAATCGCTAAACCCCGTGCGTCAGTACTAACATCTGAGTAATTACGAAGCATGACTGGGACAAATTTTATCCTCCTGATGGTCTTGCAAAGCACAAGGTTTGAGAGGACATCATTGTCATCAATCGCAGATAAGCCCCGCCTCCAGTTAGCATTGGTAATCCGTGGGTGACGGGACTCTGTGGGACTCTGTGGGACTCTGGGCTCTCTCTTTTCCCTGTTTCTATCATAGAGGTAAACAGCCAATGGAGGTGGCTGACTTTTCAAAGGTTGTGTCACAGAGCCTGAGCTAAAATTAAAAGGAGGAAGCTAATGTAAGGCTCATTTTGTGCTTACCGACTGTCAGATAAGCTTTGAAACTTAGGGATTTCTATGGTTTGTTACAAAAAAGTGTTTACTATGTACAATCTGATGGGAAAAGAGCAACAGGGAGGGCGGAGTGGTTTATGCTAATCAGAGAGTTGGATGTTATCAAAAGGGCTAGAAGCCTGCAAGGTAAAAACATAAACAGTTGTTCTCAGCTATCACTCAAAACCATCTTGCAGGTAGATGGAACTTCAAACGGGCTGCTGAGCACATATTTTTACTGTTATGCACAGATCAATGTCAGCAAAGGGAGTCATCCCTCCAATACAAAGGGTAATTTAATAATATTGAAATCTCCTAATATTTGGGTGCATGTTAATTAGGAAAGTGTAGAAAATTTTATATTATAAATCAAATTTTATTTTTTATATTTTATATTATTTATATAATTTACACTTATTTATATACTTTTCTAATTAGTAAAATGTGCCTGAGTGTCCTTAAATGCATTAAGATCTTGAGGAGTTTACTCGATAGTGGCTTTAGTTATGGGAAAAAATAAGAAGAAACTTATCCCTGTTTGGAATTCAGAAGCTGCAGAATAGGTTTGTGGAGTAGAAGCAGAAGTGGAAGCCTAAGCCAAGCGCATTTAGTAATTTTATAAATCCTTTCAAAACAGACGGATTTTAATTTCTGCAAAGTCTTTAAGGGACCAAGCCAGGAATCGATGAGTAACAATGAACAAGAAGTGAGTGAGTTGGATGCCAAGAACAGCTGAAATGACCATCAGATGATGTAGATTCTACTGACTGCCACAAGCCACCCGGGTGACCTCAGCCAGTGAGATTACCACACAAGATTAACAAAGACTTACTGGGAATCATAGAAGACTTTGTGCATTGGAAGTAACAAAAAGATGAACAAGCTCTGGTTCCTGCCCACAAGAAGCTTACGAGCCGGTGAAGAAGAGAAGACACACAATCACAATGTCTGCATGGCCGAAGGGACTGAGAGCAGACCACACACAAGAACTGAGACCAAGGAAAGGCCCCCTTCGCCTACAGAGGGGACAGCGTGAAGAAGGGTTTAATGGAAGAGTACATCTGAAATAAGCCATAAAGAATGGATACATTGCTGACAAGGAATCCTAAAGGCAGAGGACCTTTCAGAAAAACTTGAAATGTGTAGTTATGTTTATGCCCCTCGGGCTGAATTCAGTACCCAGGTGTTTTTAGCCTGGACAAGAGCTCACCAACTTCACCTAATCCTCGGCACTGCCTTTTGGACTCACACCCACTGGCCTTCCTCATTTACAGCATTTGACTGGTTCTGCAGATGTTTGTGTTTAGAGAGTCATAATTATCAAGATAAGAAGTCTAGACAGTGTCTTCTAAGGAACAGAAAGAGCCAATTGAAGCTGAGTCAGGAAGCGTCAGGATCACAACTGTGCCTTAAAGAAATCAGGGGCAACACTGTGGGGGCCAGATTTAAAGAAAGAATGGGGGGAGGCCAAGAGAGACAGACGGTAGTGGAGAGGCAATAATCTGGAGAAGGGACAGTGAGAACCTGTACAGAGGGCACATGGGGGCAGAGGGATGGAGCCCAAGGGGAGCTATGGATTTCAGAAATGGTTCAGAAATGACTTGATAGCTGGATAACCTGGTGGGGGGTGGTGTGTGTGGAATCCATGATTAACTTAAACTGTATAGCTTCAGTGTCCAGGTGAATGTTGATGTCACAAACAAAGAGAATAAAGAAAAGGAACAAAATGGATAAGGCAGATAATATATTCAAGGGAGGGATATGGTGCGTCTGAAGAGCTTACAGGGCACTAAAGTAGAAAAGTCAAGAAGAGTTGTTCTCAACCAGGATCAATTTTGCACCTCCCCTCCTGCCACACACTGGGCATGTTTAGAAATGTCCAGAGACATTTGGGGTTGTTATCACTGGGGAGGAGGGGTGTTATGAGTCTCTAGTACGTAGGGTTCAAGGGTGCTGCTAAACATCCTAAAATGTATGGAACAGTCACCACAAGAAAGAATGAGCCGGCTAAAAATGTCAGTAGCACAGACGTTGAGAAATCCTGGTCTAAAGGAAGTGAGAACTTCCAATCGAGAATTGAAGAAAGTAGGAACAGAGGGAGATGAGAAATTTCACTCATTCACACTGCAGTAAGAGACTTGAGAGAACATTACCTACAATCAAAGTATGTGGGAAAGAAAGAGAAGCAGGTGGTGGACAAAATCCTAGGCAATATCAATACCTCGTTAGCAAAATGAGTTCTTTGGGGTGGGGTAATGTCACAAATCATTTCACATTTATTTTTTAAGTCAACTCTACCCCCAACATGGGACCTGCATTCATAACCCCAAGGTCAAGATTTGCACGGTCTACTGACTAAGCCAGCCACATGCCCCAAACCCTTTTATATTTAAAATGGAATGACATGATGACTGTTTTCAGAAAGTGTGTACTCAGAAAGATAGATATGCATGAAGTGGGGAATCATGGAGAAGATCAGTAATGAATGAACATCCTAAAAAATTAAGCATTGAAGATATATTCCAGTCTGTAGCAGGGAAGCATTGTATGTGGTCTGCAAATTTGTTATAACTTGGTCACAGAACCACACAGCTGTAACACAAGAAAATTAAGAAAGAGGAAGTTGGAGGAGGAGGAGGGGGAAGGGTGGATGAGAAGAAAAGGAAGGAAGAAACAAAGGGAAACAAAGAAGAGGTGCGGAAGGGGGAAAATGGCAAGACAAGAGAAACGAGGGGAAGGGAGAGAAGGAAAGGAGAACAGGAAAAAAAAAGAGAAAAAAAGGGGAAAAAAAAGGAGAACAGTAGAGACAACCTCCAAAAGACACAGAATACAGCGCGAGCGAAGTTCTAAAGAACAAGACTCGTAGCCATCCTCAAAAATTTTGCCAAACTCTAATATGGGAATCTATTCCACGAACAGCAAAATCTGCTTCTTGAACAGTATCATCACTGTTTTTCAAAAACTATCTAACACAAAATGACGAAACAGTAAGCAACACCTGTACAATTCTCCAGTACTTAAATAAATTTTGCTGTGACTCTGCTCCACTAGGGTTTGCCAGAGGTTGGGAGGCCTGGAGAGGGACAGGAGATGGGGAGGTAGAGGGGCGCTCCAAAGTGAAGGAATGTGGAAGGATGCATCATAGCCACCTTGGCAGCCTTAGACTGCTGAGCAAAGGCAAAGGAAGTTTGCGAGAAACAGCTAGAAGATGGTCTTTTCCCATTCAAATTGTTATGTGGCCCACAAATACTAGGTATGCCTGGAAACCAAAAGAGGCATCACTGACCCAGAAAGAGGGTGAAGAACATGTGCACAGTGTTGAGCCAGATAGATCTTGAATTCCAAACTTGGCTCCACCATTGGCTAGTTTGATGCTGTTTGCGAGTAGCAGAATGGCTCAGAAACTTAGCTTCTTTTCGGTCAAGTGTGAATGGTAGGCTTCCCAGGCATGCTGTGATGTTTAAAGGACATCATGTATGTAAAGTGTCAACCCAAATAAAACACATTAAATAAGGTTGCACATTTGAAAACTGAAATCTTCACTTTTGTAAATGAACAAGTAACTTTTATGAACTGAGAAAACTGGGAGTGGCCTTCAGAATGCTGGTCAAATTTCCTCCTTTAGCTGATAGGAAAATTGGAGAAGGAAATGAAGAGGCTATTGTGGTTTGGATGTATGCGGGCCAAAAGAGACCTTAATTAAAGGGAGGTTATTCATTTTTTTAATATAAGATGAAGGTAGAGTTAGAAAATTAGAGTCCATAGTTATATACATATGTGTATATATATATACAAACATACATTTTATCTGTATATGTACATATGATATACAAATTATGTACGTGTTTATTAGAAATAACAGAACTTCTCTGAGGATGCTCTATTATTGATGCCTAGCATCATCCAGCAGAAAGTTGTCCTTAACTTTTCTGTGAACTTCACTAGACTATATCTCCCACATTCACCCCTTTGAAAATACATCCCACAAAGTTCTTGGGCACCTCACAGAGTACCAAATAAAAGAGTTTTAGGAATAAACTGGTGATTATAAAGGATGTGCTTCCCCCAAGCTACAGTCAGGTCACTTACCTGTCTAGGAGCAAGTTAGGAGCAAATAGGAGCTTCCCTGGGTGCTCCATGGAGCGCCAGACAAGTCCAATCATCAGGATCTCTAGCCAGGCACATTCCAGAAGGTGGACTTGATCATGGAGGCTCAAATCGACAAAGCCTAAAACAAGACAAGAAAACCCTGCTGACTTAAAATGAAAAGTCGTCATTACCAATGAAATGAATGCAACCAGGCATCTATTTCCTATTAGATGGTATGGCATGTAATGGAAGCACACTGGATAGGAAAGTTAAGTAACTATTTCTAAATCTAGTATATCAATGAACATTAATGTAGCAGCAAGTTTCTTGGTGCCTGAGTGTCACATCTATAGAAATATACTAATTTACACAACCCACTTGGCTATTTATAAAGTTCTATACTTAGTGTTAAAACTTATTATCTTAGACATTGTTTTTTACTTAGACATCTCTAATAGCCCTATGTGATTACTATATTTCATTTCTGATTCAGTCGCAGATATTTAGGTACAAGAAATTTATTTTTATTTTTTATTTTTTTTAAAGATTTATTTATTTGACAGAGAGAGACAGAGTGAGAGAGGGAACACAAGCAGGGGAAGCAGGAGAGGGAGAAGCAGGCTTCCCGCGGAGCGGGGAACCCGACACGGGGCTCGATCCCAGGACCCCGGGATCATGACCTTAGCCGAAGGCAGACGCTTAATGACTGAGCCACCCAGGCGCCCCCAGGTACAAGAAATTTAAACTATTTGTCTTAAACCAAAGACCAAAGTCACTAAATTTTTTTTCTTTGTTTCCTCACTAAGCCATGCTCTTTTTTTTTTTTTCACACCGTGTAAAAGAAAGCCTAATGAAACAGCATGTGTAAATAAATAACTTGGGGGAGAATGAGTCGGATGAATAAAGCTGACATTATAATTACTTCTAGTAAGAAATACGAACGTGCCTTTGTTTGATAAAGGCTTTAATGGGTGATTAAAATGTTTCCTAATCATTACTGACAATATGGCAGATGCCTAATGATAATAATAACAACAACAACAACAAGCAAGAGGAGGAGAAGGGGGAAAGGGAGAGGAGGAAGAAGAGGAGGAGGAGGAGGAAAATGGCCAACTTATTGAGCCCTTACTACGGTTTTGAAGTACTAAACAATTAGCTGATCATTTCTGATACATGGATGGGCCAACCTTACTGCTAAGTAGGTGACTAACCATATAGAGAACCCCCAACTAGAGAAAGACCTCAGAGTCTTTGCCCCCTGGAGTCATCATCCCCTAATCAAACCTCACCAATTCTATCTTTGAAGTAACACTAAAATTCTTCCTCTCCTTTCTATAGTCCCACTGTTACTATTTTAATTTAATTCCTAAGAGTCATCTTTCTGACTTTTGTAAATCAACATAATTATTTTGAGACTTACCCATGGTCTTCCATGTATGAATAGTTGATTCTTTTTATTGCTGAGTGGTATTCCATTGTATGGAAATATACAATAAATATAATTTGCTGATCCTTTCATTGGACATTTGGGTTGTTTCCAGTCTGGGGCTATTACAAATAAAGCTTTTATGAGCAATCTACGTACTAATTTTTTGTAGGAACATAGGCTTTCATCTTTGGGGGGTAAATACTTAAGAGTCCAATGGCTGGATCATACAGTAGGAGTATATTTCACTTTTTAAGAAATTGCTAAATTGTCCATTTTATATTCCCACCAACAATAGGTGAGAGCACTAGTTGCTCCACATCCTCACTGATACTTGGTATGGTCAGTCTTGTTTTTTTTATTATTTAAAAAAGTTTTTTTATTTAAATTCAATTTAGTTAACGTATAGTGTATTATTAGTTTCAGGAGTAGAATTTCTTTTTAATTATAGATATTCTAGTAGATGTACAGAGGTATCACACTGGCTCTGTGGTTTTAATTTGGACTTCCCTAATAACTAATGATGTCACACATCTTTTCATGTGCTTCTAACAGATCATTATCATACATTGTACTGATGTTAATTATGCATTTATCTGTAAATTCTGCTAGCCTGCATATTCATCAGAAGCACCAGATGCATGATTCTATCAAATTCTGCTTTTTAAAATCCATATTTGTCGCACCTTCTCCTACATCAATCAACCGTTCCAAGGACCATAATAGTGTAGACTTTCTCAGAACAGGTATCTTCCCATTGGAAAAAGTGGGTTTCACTCATTTAAAGCAGGGCTTGCAACCGGAGGAAAAATGGGTAGCTCTGTTCATTGAAAAAAAAAAAAAAAACAACCAAAATATTAAAACACAGTGACTGGGTTTCAGGCCTCCTTGGTAGAAAAAGGAACAGGTATCTGTACGACCCCCAGATATTTACCTCTGGAGTACACTGGGTTTAAAATGGACTAAACTTGTTCTGGAAGAAACACTGCCTGAGGCAATAGGAAATGTTTCTTTTTTTCAATACCCAGTGCAGTGTCTAATGGGATAAACTGACTCCAGTGAGCAGTACTTAAAAGGAAAGCTCTCAAGGAAGTTTTAATTCTCTAAGATTTTACCCCGATCTTTTGGGTAAAGCCTCAGAATAGCAATGTAAATGGACACTGTCAATTAAGCTCACTTTCAGAAATATTAACATTCAAAAGTGATGTCTCCTGAGATGCCTGGGTGGCACAGTGGGTTGAGCGACCAACCCTTGGTTTCCGCTCAAGTCGTGATCTCAGGGCCGTGAGATTGAGCCCTGTGTTGGACTCCACGCTCAGCATGGAGTCTGCTTGAGACTCTCTCTCTCCCTCTCCCCCTCCGCCCCATGCTCTCTCTCACTCACTCTCTCTTTCTCTCTCTCAAATAAATAAATCTTTAAAAAAAAGTGATGTCTTCTTTCATGACATTTGCTGTTTTATATGGGAAAAAATACAATCATGTGATAATGTCATCCATGATGATATGTACACCATGTTATTCAATACCCTCCAGAAACCTCAAACACACACAGGATGAGATTGGGGAGTATCTTTTGAGAGAACCACAGCTGGTCACACAACCATTTGATTTTGGAAAACCAAAGGAGTATTTTCTGGTAACAACCTTACGTATTAAACTGAATCATACTTTTTAATTCTCACTTCAAAACTTCAGTGCGGGGCACCTGGGTGGCTCAGTCGTTAAGCGTCTGCCTTCGGCTCAGGTCATGATCCCAGGGTCCTGGGATCGAGCCCCACATCAGGCTCCCTGCTCCACGGGAAGCCTGCTTCTCCCTCTCCCACTCCCCCTGCTTGTGTTCCCTCTCTCGCTGTGTCTCTCTCTGCCAAATAAATAAATAAAATCTTTAAAAAAAAAAAAAAAACCTCAGTGCTATTTAAGTCTGACACTTTTAGTGGTCTCTTGGGTGCCTCAGAAGCTCACCATAACCATTTGTACCACACAAGTCTGGTGATTATGAAATCTGTCTGAAGTATGTCTGTTAGCAATAGTTTTCAGTCTGGGTCTGGCAAAATTGCTGGGGCCTTCTGTTGAGATGATGTAGATCTCTCAAAAAGAAATAGTCTCTTTAGTTATCTTTCCCAGCTGCGTATATTGCCTTCAGACAAGGGTTATTGTATCTCTTGCACAGTGCCCTTTGCAAGTTCCTGGGGCAGGGGGCAGTGGGGGTGCAAAGATGACTATCAATCAACCTTCTTGATGAATGTGAAGGCTACTAAAGACTGTCCATTAAAGACTTTAAATTCATAGCCAGTGGAGATCAATAATGTACTAAATCCCAAACAAAATTATATTATCTATCAATAGACACCAAGTTTCAATCCTTAGCTTTTTCCTTTTAAACAAAAGGAATTATCCAATGTGCAGTTTCAACTGGATCTGCTATAATAACATAAAGGCATTCCACAAGGCCTTTCTTGAACACTTAAAAGTGCTGCCAATATGAAGATGGGAGGGAGAAGCATTTATGGGATATGAATAGAGGCATCAGTGACAGATATTCTTACAGGTGACATAGTGAGAGACGATTCACCTCCCATCACTTGGGGACTCACATCTTAGTGACAGGGACAGTGACAAGGGGCCCTGGGCCTGTGGAATCCACACCAGTGGGACAGAATGCATACCTAAAAAGTAATAACAATAGTTTATTGAGACCAAGGGAGATCAGATGTAAGGAAATCTCATTTTATAAAATAGAATTTCAAAAGAAAGCAAACATGGGTCTTTTCCTCTAGCCCACATTCACAGATCGAGTAGTAGAGTATCTAGAGATGGAATATCCTGGAAGACAGAAATGCCTCACCTCCTACTCCCCACCCACTAGGTGGGCAGGGATCTAAGGAAGTTGAGGGAGGTCTCTTTCACAGAGAAATAACCCCTTATACATACAACTGGCTCATTATCTCTAGCTCCATCACCACATAAATACATTCCTGCCTTCTGTCCTCCATTATAAAATAATTGTTTTTCCTCCAAGATTTTTATCTTAGTTTTAACTGTGAAAGGACCTCATGGCATGTCCTCCTCTTTCCCTTGGGCCTCATGAGACCCTAAACCCTCTTCCGCACTCTGTCGGAGTCTGCCAGACCAATTACTTAATTTGCCTTGGCACACAGGAGATCCTTCAAGCCTCACCCTCCCTTATGGGGTATGACGTGGCTCTTAGAAATGACATTGAAAAGTGTGCTGAGACTCTTAGGCAAAATGACTATTATAATGTGAATGCTTGCGAAGTTCTGCACTGCAGTGGGGTAAAAGATAAATCACAGTGGCTCTTCAGGATAAGCATGAGGAAAAATAAGCACTATGGTAATTATAGTTCTTAATTCCATGGGATAAATCTATAGAGATGCAAAGTGAGGTAGAAACCTTGTGGAAGAAAAAAAGCAACCAGAAACCAGGTGGTTGGTTCCCTTAGTAAATCCACTGGAAAAAATATTAGTTTGCTGACCTTCAGAAAAAATTAATCATGTTCTCAGTCATATGATGACCCCAATGTTCTCCAAAATGTCACTTATGAAATTGCCTATTAAATGCTTTTTGTATTGCTTTAACTCAATGGGAGAAGATTTAAATAATTCATCTCTTCCTCTGGATGCCAAAAACTCAGTGAAGAAGGAGAAGATGAAGAAGAATGAGAAGGAGGAAAAGGGGGGGGAGGAGGAGAAGAA